CGTCATAGATGTGCATGGAAGTTAATAGTATGTATTCTATCTTACGTTAGCCTTATGATGCGGCTTATAACTAATTGTGTCTTTTGAGCTAGCAGTTTAATGCTCATTGTCGTGGTAATTACTTTTCAGGTGATTTTTTTAGTTTGTCTTGTGTAGACTACTTGTCAGATTTAAATCTTGTCTTCCTTTATTGGAAGGTTTAATTTAGACTCTATTTTACATTTTATATTATTTTCGTGTATTTGTTCTTTTTTTCATGAAAGTAGTCCGATTAGGTGTTTTGTTTAGTCTAATTGTTTTTTCTGATTTTGTTTTGTCTAGGGTAGGGTATAACCACCGTGGGTTTTACCACGGTTGCACTGACCGAACAGTTTATTTAGATAAGCCTAGATAAGTAATTAGTAGTTATCCCATCACCCCCCCCCCCCCCCAGCAGGGTTTACATATGTGTTAAATTTTTTCACCTGCAAAGTTTAAATGCATTTCAATCGATTATTAACTTTTGGCTATAATTTGCAAATGCAAATACAAATATAAAAATAAATACAAATCTTGTATTGGGTTGGAAACTTAAGAGCAAGTCTTCAAATTTGTTGTTTGTTTTTACATATAGCCTGTGAGAAAACCAAGTATTAAGTAGAAAAATTATTAGTCTCCGGACTTGAAGTCGTTAAAGCTATTTTCATATATTAACCACAAAATGGAGGGGTGTTGTCCCTGGGTTATTTGTCACGGGGGAGGGGGGTGTCCAGAGGGTTTATTTTACCTGGTGGTTTTGTCCAGGGGCTTATGTCGGCGGGGGGGGGGGTTATATCAGAGTATTTTATGTCCATAGAGTTTAAGTCAGGACATTGCTTGAACATGAAATAATTACGCACAAAGCTAATGAGATATGGTGGCCAGACTAGGGCCAAACATTTTTATTTAGTCTATTTTAGAAATATACTGGTTATGTTACCTTTTGACCCGACCCCTGTACAGTAATGTTATTATCTCCTGTCTGTCAGCCATATCTTTAGCCTACTTTACCAACTACTGCATTCTATGTTAGTATTTAATCAATATTCTATTAGTTTAACTAACACCACCATCTGATATTGCCTTGTTCACACCACAATACTTGCATAGGCCCCACCCATTAATTTAATTTTGCCAAAATCGGCATTTATTTGAGTCCAGTGATTCCACACACCTTACGCTTCACTCTTTATCCAAATTTGCCTCACCCCAACCCCCACGAAAATACAATTACTTATTTCATCTAACAAATTACAGCTTGAAGATCCCAAAAAAACAAAATCGATAACTGATTAAGCTTGGAGCTTTTCAAACACTAGTCGTATTATCATGGGCGTTTTAAAATGATATAAATAAATAAAAACAAAAAATGAAAAGTGATGTCAATGAACTTTCATTAGATAGATTTAGACATGATATCAACATACGTTTGATATAAACGGGGTAGAGGCAAAAAAATCTCTAATTATATTTGTAACATTTTTTTGGTAAATAGTTTTTTGTGCATAGTTTTTTTGTACGTACATTAATAGTGGTTTTGTTATACTTTGCAATGATAAGGGGTTAAATTACTAATTAGGATATATATATATATATATATATATATATATATATATATATATATATATATATATATATATATATATATATATATATATATATATATATATATATATATAGGCGGGGCTAAAAACATTTTCTCGGGGGATACTATCAGGACAAGAACATGAGACAAATACTTTCAATAACATCAACATGTTTTTCCTAAACAGGGAGGTGCAAAATGTCTAGATTTGTCGAAGTGTCTATTTCGATTGTATGCGCCTTTACAATACTTCTTCTAAACTCTATCCCTTAAAATCTAATAACAACTGAGGTCACATGTTTGGAGCTTGAACGACTTAACTGCATATCATCCGATTTCTATGGGGGGGGGGGGGGTATTGCTTTGATATATGAGCGAATTTGACGAACTAACAATGTTGAATTAAACTCGTACCTCGATGTATCACTGTATGTATGTGTGTGTTTATATGTGTATGTCCACTGAAGAGGTTTAGATTGAGCCCTTTGTTTCTTACAAACTTTAAAAGATTACTTGAAGTAAATTTGTGAACTTGTGTATGTGTGTAAGTGTCAGAAAAATAATATATGTTGGTAGTAATTGTTAGACACTTTCTCAGACAGTTACTGTAATGCAGGGGTTCCCAACCTTTATTTACTCCAGAGCACATTCTAAAATATCGGTAGGGTGGCGGGCACCACCTATTTTAAATCGACAAATTCCTCCCAGAGGCGTAGCGACCCTTCCCGTCACCCGGGGACAAAACTTTCGATTTGCACCCCCCCCCCTCCCCTCACATTTTCGATTTGCACCCCCCACCCCTCAAACTTTCGATTTCCATCCCCTTCAACCTTTCAATAATGTTTATGAAAAAAATTCTGTCTCTGTCAAACAGTGAGAGGCGGGCACATACGAATCGTTCGGCGGGCGCCATGGCGCCCGCGGGCACGGGGTTGGGAACCCCTGCTTTAATGGTTCATTATATTTTATTCTTCACTTGATAATATCTGCCTCATTCTTGTCTTCTTAATATCTACCTCTTAGTTTTTGTCTCGATGGTATCTAAAGCAAGTACCTCTCTCAATGGTATCTAACGCAAATACCAATCTGTCCTTCGGTCTGTAAGTACGTCAGTCCGTCGGTCCGTCCGTCCGTCCGTCCGTCAGTCCGTCAGTCTTTCTGTCTTTCTGTCTTTCTGTCTTTCTGTCTTTCTGTCTTTCTGTCTCTATCTTTCTGTCTTTCTGTCTTTCTGTCTTTCTGTCTTTCTTTCTGTCTGTCTGTCTGTCTGTCTGTCTGTCTGTCTGTCTGTCTTTTTTCCGTTTGCGCTTTTTTCCGTTTGCGCTTTTTTCCGTTTGCGTTTTTTTCCGTGTGCGCTTTTTTCTGTTTGCGCTTTTTTCCGTTTGCGCTTTTTTCTCTTTGCGCTTTTTTCCGTTTGCGCTTTTTTCTGTTTGCGCTTTTTTCTCTTTGCGCTTTTTTCCGTTTGCGCTTTTTTCTCTTTGCGCTTTTTTCTCTTTGTGCTTTTTTCTCTTTGCGCTTTTTTCCGTGTGCGCTTTTTTCCGTTGCGCTTTTTGTTTTGCGCTTTTTTCCGTTGCGCTTTTTTCCGTTGCGGTTCTTTCCGGCCACCCTCTATTTGCCATTACCAATATTTTTTTGTTTGACCTAATCTGGTGTGTTTATGTTGTTTATAGTGACTCAGTGTATAATGAAGATATGAAAACCATATGTAGCTTTTAGGAGAAAACATGATGATAGAAATGTGGAGACATGTACCCAACAGAAATTCCCAGATTAATTAGGATGTTGTTGACCATTAAAATCATATGAAGTTTATATGAAGTTTATATTGTTAGGTGGAAGAGTATGTTGGATTATTGGTGTGCTGTGATTTATCAGGGTATTTTTGTGCGAATAAATGTTGAGATATAACAAATCCATCGATTTGATGACTTGGATGAAAGTAGAGACTAAAGAATTAACGTTTTTGACTATGCAAGCTAGGGAGTTGTGGCTAGGTAATGGGTGTGTGAGGTTCTCAGTGTGATGGGTATATTATAGACAATTGTATCCGGAATAGAGAAGACCAGTATTTAAATAAAGACTTGATAAAGAAAATAATGGCCATCTTGTCGAGTGATCATAGCCTGTGTTGTCGTTACGTGTAACAGCTGATAATGATAGTGGCTTGCTTTACATGGTAGTCGATCAAGTCTAGTTAAATTTTCTCACTGCCCTAACACCCCACTTCCCCCGCCGGCCTCCACTTGACATTACTAATTTCATCCAACAGCTTTAAGATCTAAACAAAATCAATAACTTATTAAGGTTTGGAACATTTCGAACAACAGCCGATTTATCATAGGCGTTGTAAAATGTAAAATCTCCAAACATTTGCTAAATAAAAAAATTTGTATTAGAGCAACAGTTTCTTCCCCAGTCTACCAAATTATGTGTTTTCCAGAGGAGCAAAAGGTTGCAGCTACAAATCTCCCGATTCTTATTTCATTAAATATTTGTCAACAAAATAAGAACATGATTACCTACAAATAACACAGTATAACTCTTCTAAAATGTTTCCACAAATTGTGTAACATTTGTTAATAGTAGATTTCGATCTAAATACATTTGAGAATAAAAAAATAAATAAAAAATGAAACTAATGAATATTTATATATACAACTAATAGATAGAGAAGCTGAGAGAAATAGGTTTGAATGAAACGCCTATGTTAAAAACACGGAGTCACGTGATATCAAGACGGTAGTGTTTTGCTGGCCAATCAGACATGAACACGTGAAGATGTTCATTTATAACTGTGGGTTGTAAATGTTCAAGAATCCCTGTGGTAGTTGCGGTATTATTTCTTCATATATTGCTGTGCTCGTTGATATTTGATTCTACTTTGTAGTAATTTACAATCGGATAAACAATTGAGCAGTGGGAAAGAGGAACACGGTAGGTCTTAATTTTATACTGCGGGGTAATTTTTTTAATTTGTCTCTTTTAGCCGAGCTGTTTGTTCTAATTTGTCAGGAGAAAATGCTTTTCTTCAGAAAAAACACACCGAAGTTTTTTTGGGAAGCAAAAGATTTATAGATTTAAAAATGTAGACTTACATCTTGATAAGTGCTGCAGTGTGACCAAGTTTCCTTTCCGGCCACGACGGTTATGGAGCAAGTGAAGTAGTTGGCCTGTTTCTTTGATTCGGTATACGACGAGATAATGTGGTCAGCACTATGCCCTAACTATGTGGTCTTGCGGACGGTCTACTGATTTGAACACGGATTCGAACTCAATACTTTCGAGTAAACAGTCTATCACTCTTTCGCTAGACCACACCGTTCCAGTGTGACTAAATCTCGACACATAGAATATTATACTGAATTTTCAAAAATTAAGTTTAGGGTATTATTTATTTCAGAAAATGGATATCCTGAAGTTAACATCATATTTACTGCCGCTTTTTCTGAGAAGCTTCTTACAGGAAGCTACAGGGGAAAATATCTCCAGCAGTTATCCAGAATCTTTTCATACTCGTCAGAGTTCTTCAGGCAACAGATTGGTAATACATTTTTTACGGTGGCAAGTATAATAATACACAATCAAAACATCCAGATTGATGAAAGTGCAATCCCTCATTCTATTCATTAAGAATATACAAGAACGTTTAGGAAAGATTACTTTTTAATTCATTTTTTTAAACTTATTTCTTTTAAGTAATTATTATTTTCATTTGAAAATATACATTTTAAAAATTCTCAACAACATGTAGCCTATTTATGCCTAATGAAAAACCATTATATTTTTTTGCAGAGGAAAACATCCTACACTTATAACATTCTGTCGACAACCTGGGTCAAAACAGCCTATATTATAAATGGCTTCATCCCTTTAGCTGCTGTAAGGTAAGTTGTAAACAAAAGCTTTGAAGCTTTGAATCAAAATGTAGGTAAATGCAGATAACAACTAATAAGAAAAGTATGTAATGTATTTGTACTTATGTACGCACTTATAGCGTTATATACGTATGAACGTATGCTCTTTTGTACGTATCGTATGTATATACGATAGTTCGTTTTTACATGTTTATGTAGACTATGTATTAATAAGGATTTTGGTATAATAGTCGTATAGATTTTTAATATTTAAATAAAAACGATCAACAATTACCATCTAACATGTTGGCCCGGGCTTGACCCAGAAAAGTTGACACTTAGTGGATGTAGATTAAAATGTACGAATTAGAAATTCGACCTTTGTATGTCTATGCGCCAGGTGGAGTCGGACATGAAGTGCCATCCCCATTAAAATTATTTAAAATAGGGAATAATTTGCCGGAAAATTTAGAGGAGTTCTTTTCAGATATTTTTTTAATGAAAATAAAGATCTAGTAATTAGTAATTAAAGATTTTAAAAATGTAACTAGAAAACAATATTATTCAATATGTGGGTATTCAAATATAACGACACGAGGAGGGGGGGTGGGGTGGAGGGTTAGGTGAGGTTTGCCTGTCGTCCCTCGTGGGACATAGACCGCTGACAAGAGCTGTCCAGGTGACTCTGTCCTGGGCTAGTCTCTCCAATTGTCCACAAGTGTATCCAATCTTCTTGGTGTCTTCTTCCTAATCACGTCTTCAGGTCTTTCTCGGTCTGCCTCTCCTCATCCTGCTCTGTGGATTCCAGGTGAGGGCCTGTCTTGTTATGCTGGATACAGGCTTCCTGTGTGTGTGGCCAATCCATTTCCATTTTCTCTGGAGGATCTCTACTTCAGCTGGCAGTTGATTTGTCCATTGCCATAGAATATCATTTCGGGTGGTTTTAGGCAAGCGAATCCTCAGGATCTTTCTGAGGCATGCGTTTATCTTGCATTTGCTGGTGTGTGTGAGAAAGAATGGCCAGGCAGTCAGCAAAGTCCAGGTCATCCAGCTGGCTCCGCAGTGTCAATTGTATACCGTTTCTCGTATACTCTTTTGACCTAGTCATAATCCAGTCTTTGGCCAGCAGGAACAGGAATGGTGAAAGTAGCGAACCCTGTCTTACTCCCGCAAGACACTTGCCCAAATGCCGATTGCCCGACGGCCGATTTCCCGAATAGACACTTGTCCGAATGCGACAAATGCCGGAATGGACACTTGCCCGAAGGCCGTTTGCCCGAAAAATGTTAATATTATATATTAACAAATAATCATTCATAATCAAATTAAATTTGAAATTTTTATAAGCAATACATGGTTATCTTAGCAAAAAGAAAAGAATAAAATAATGTTATATTTTACCACCCAGATATTCTTAATTAATTAGTATTTGCTATATAAAAAGTGTACAAACATATTTTAATTCCTGTCTATGAAACAACACAAAAAATACCATTTTCGCTTATCTCAGGATTTTAAAATGAATTTTGCTTTCTTTATTAAGTAATCGCTTCAGCATATTGTCTAAACAAGGTGCATTAAATGGAGATCAAACATAATGGACTATCTTTTGTTTGTAAATTCTCCACCTAGACCGAGCCTCGTTCTTTTTTAAATGATAACCACACATGTTAAACAAAATAAAAAGAATGAAACAAACGCGCCTCCATTCAATGTTGCGAGACGCCGCGTCGCCTACACCATGCCATAAACGCCATCTAACCACCGCAACATGTTGGTTAAACAAGGTGTTGAAAACGTTTATGAAAAGAATATAGAGTCACTGCCAATAACATCACGTTATATTAGTTTAAGAAAAAAGATTTTTTACAGCAATGTCTCAGTTTTCAAAAAATAAAAGCTAATTTTTTAAAAATATGAACAAATTTATTTTTATGCTTAGAATTGTGTTTATTATCAATATTTCAAACTTGAATTGATTAAGAATGTCTGTTTGGTAATATTATTTATTTTCTAATATTAACATTTTTCGGGCAAACGGCCTTCGGGCAAGTGGCTTTCGGGCATTTGTCGCATTCAGGCAAGTGTCCACTCGAGCATTTGTCGCATTCGGGCAAGCGTCCATTCGGGCATTTGTCGCATTCGGGCAAATGTACATTCGAGCATTTTTCGCATTCGGGCAAGTGTCCATTCGGGCATTTGTCGCATTCGGGCAAGTGTCCATTCGGGAAATCGGCTTTCGGGCAAACGGCATTCGGGCAAGTGTCTATCGGGAAAATGTCCGGCTCCCACTGGAAAGGCCTCCGAAATCTGTTGGTCATGCACTACTCTATATTTCAGACCTTCATATGAAGAAACAATAATGTTGACTATTTTCTGTGGCACCCCGTAGTGTCTCAACAATATCTACATGAACTGTCTTTCCAGGCTATCAAAGGCCTTCTCGTAGTCTATGAAATCAATATAGAGAAATGAGTTCCACTCCTGGGTCTGTTCAATTATGAAGCGCAGGGTAGCAATTTGATCTACGCGTGACCTTTCTTCCTAAAGCCCGCCTGTTGATCTCGAAGCTGGGGGTCTATCCCTTCCTTTATTCTGTTTAATAATATTCTGTTGAAGACTTTGCCTGGGACGGACAAAAGTGTTATCCCTCTATAGTTAGAGCATGCACTAAGATCGCCTTTTTTTAGTTTTATGAATAGTCCCTCCTTCTACTCCTCTGGTATTCCCAGATTTCATTGAAGAGTGTGTGAAGTAGAGTGGTGCTAGTTTCTGTATCTGCTGTCACTATTTCCGCCGGTATGCTATCTATTCCTGGAGGCTTCCAATTTTTCAGCTACTTTATAGCGTTATGTATCTCTACTTTTAAAGGTGCGTTGCAGTCTATAGGGAGATCACTTTCAGCTGGTGGTATATCTTGCGTGCACTCAGATGTTGATATTTAGTAGTTCTTCAAAATGTTCTGCCCATCTCCTCCTCTATCCTTCATCATCAGGTATTATCTTTCCATCTTTGGTCTTCACTGGCCTCTCTGGCTTACTGTACTTTCTTTTTAATTGTTTTGTACATGTCCCTAATATTACCATGGTACAGAGCTTCTTCCGCTTCACTTGAAAGCAGTTATAAATAACTCCGGTTGTCTTTCTTTATACATTTCTTGACACATTTGATTGTTTCAGTGTATTGTTCCAGTGCTTTCTTTTAATTTAGCAGCTCGTCTACGACTGTTGTTTAATGTTGCCTTCTTTCTTTTTCTCTCTTTAATAATTTGAAATCCCTTCCCTAGTTTGCCATTTGATATGTCTTAGCACTTCGTCACATGTTGATGTAAATATGTTTTTAGTTTTTTTCCCATTTTTCCTCAGTTGTCTCTTCCTCTGTTAGATCTTGTAGGACCTGAAACTTGATTGAAATATGGATCTTAAATTCATTTAGTTTAGAGGAGTCCTTAAGTAGGCTAGTGTTATACCTGTATTTTCTTTTGTTTTCAAACATGTTTTTCTCCAGCTTGAGTTTTGCTTTAGCAACAAGTAGTTGATGGTCTGAAGCAACATCAGCTCCTCTCTTGACACGTACATCTTGAAGTGATCTCTTGAACGTTATTATGATACATGTATGGTCTATCTGGTTTTCTCTAGACAGGTCGCTGTTAACCAAATAGCTTTATGTATCCTTTTGATATGAAAGAGACTACCTCCTATTACTAAATTACTTGTGGCACACAAGTTAGCAAATCTTTCTTCGTTTTCGTTCATCTCATCTAAGCCCTGCTGTCCCATACATTCTTCATATCCTCTGTTGTCGCTTCCAATCTTAGCATTAAAGTCGCCAATGAGTATAAGGATGTTTCTTCTAGGGCGGTTCTGGTTAAGGGTAATTAGCTGTTGTAGAAATCATCTTTGTCCTCTTATTTGCTGTCATATTTTGGGACGTATGCCTGTATTATGTCCATGTTCATTTTAGTTTTAAAGGTAGGTGTTATGATCCGCGGGCAGTGTGTCTCCCATCCAACGAGAGCCCTTTGTGCTTAGTTTAACAACATGAATGCGACTCCTTGAGTATGTGGTGAATTTTCATCCTCGTGGCCTGAGAACAGCAGTAGCTCTCCTGTTATTAGTCTCTTTTGTCCCACCTTGACTCGCTGATACCCAGGATACCTATTTTATAGCGTCTCATTTCTACTGCTACGGGTTGCTTTTCTAGCTTCATACATTTTGCGACATTCCAAGCTCCAATATTGATGGTGGACCTGGTGGAAATAATGGTGGTCGACCTGGTAGTTTTCAATACATATTGGCTTTCACCACCCGGTTTCATAAATTTTCTTCCCCAAGTCCGAGCTGTCTGTATTTCTCTTTGTCTTCGTTTCTGTAGCGAGTTGTTTTTCACGATATAAGGTTGCTGAACTTAGGCTCAACCTGCAACCTGGAGCTTTCATCTGACCCTTACCCGAGCAGACCTTCCCAGCATGGTTGAACCTACCAGGAGTTAACACTCACGCTGGTATAGCTCTTGGGGTCGTCGGGGTACACTAGCTGCCAAGCCACGGCACAGCCCTAGCACCAGATGACAGGGGGTGGAGGGGGGAGGTTCATAACTAGTCGACTTTTGTGTATGCTTATGACTAGGTTATGCGGTTCTAAAAAAATGATATTTTTTAATGTTGTAAACGAATGCCAGTTGTTTGAAATATCAAGTAAGTAGTGAGGATTAGATGTAACAGAGGTGGGTGAATAAAAATTGTGTAATTTTTGTATAAAAATTAAATCAACAACCATTGTCTTTATTTTGATGTTATCAACGCTCAGGTTTAAAATTGAACTGTGTCCGGAATCTGATTGTTTCCCAGTCATAGCATTTCAATTCAGCGTCCGTATGAATACAAATCTTGTGGTAAGGAATCATAAGACTGATGGTAAATGGGCCAGTGAAGAAACATATGGAGGTATGCCCTTCAGAAGAAATGCCAATTTCAATGTAACAATTCAACTTACTCATACAGAATATGAGGTTAGTATACACAATTATTTACTGGGCGAATTATTTAACACTATATTACTACCGTATGAAAGAGAATATATTCGAATTTTTAAACTTTTAAACTTCACAGGTGTATGTTAACCGTGTTTTTTTCTGCAAGTATCTCTATGCATTCCAACCTGAAAATGTTAATTTCATCAAAGTTCATGGTGATGTTCAACTAAAAAGAATAGCTGCTAGTGTAAGTTGAAATTTACCTGCAATTTTACAAGTTTTTTTTTAAACTTCCTTCCTGTCTGTCGACAGTCTTTATGTCGTTGTGGATTGAAACGCTCGATTGAAATTTCGGGCAATTCTAACTGACAGACTCGTTTCAAAGTTGGCAAAAATTATTAACAGCGGCCAATTATATCTTTGTTTCCGTTAGAGATTTTTAAAAGCTGGTGAAAAATTTAGATTTCTCAAACACTTTTCAACGTTTATTCATTGCAATAGCTCATACTCAATTTTTAATACAAATTTTTACGTACATTTAAGTACAAAAATTAAAGGGTGGTGCTACATAAATATCAATATTTTCTAAAGTTGTGTACTAAACTTAATGTACAAACATAGTTTTGTAGAGAGTATAATGCTGCTGAATGCACCTGGAATGTTTCAGTCTTGTATGACAAAGGGTTCCAAATCCTTAGCGATTAGAATGTTGAATTTTGAGTCAAAATGCAAAGTTGAGAAAACGTGAAAAGAGGGGCGGAAAAAGGCACAATGCGTTTCCTCTTATAGAAAAAAGAAAAAAAAATGTCTTGTTATGTGTGGAAGAACCAGTTGACTAATAAAATATGTGTTGATTTATGTTGTAAGTTTTAGACAGATTTTTATGTAAGCAGAAAATACGTATACAACACGTAATGAATTAACGACTATTAAATATTACACATCTTATCCATCAAGTGTTATTCTCAGAACAGCTATCAACAAACCGGTTTAAGTTTTGTTTGTTAGCCGGTCTTCTCACTTCAATACAGTGTCTATCCCTACTTAAATTGTAGCTTACTCAATTGTATTGCTTTTTAATAATAGCCTACTACACAATCCAGGGGACAACGCTTGAGGCTAGACACGCCCCCCCCCCCCATCCCACACCTCCCCACCGCTGGACGGTGTGTGAAAATCCAATGAGACATAAATTACGTATGGTTATTCAACCGTGAAAACCACAACCTTGTTTCAGTACAATGAATGCTTATCAGCTATCCCATCTAGTTTTTACTTTAGTTGCTAGCAAACCCTACACGGACTGAAGGGCATACACATTAACACATTTGTCGTTTACAGTCCGATGTAAAGTCTGATGAACGCGTTCAAGCCTATCTTAACATGATGTAACAAGATTATAAGCTGGTCGTTGGTTGAATAGCGGGAAGGGGTGAGGGGGGGGGGGGGGGGGTGAAGGGGATGGACTTAGTACATTCTTCACACGACACTGACTGACATGACGCATTGTTTCAGCTTAGTATAAAGCGTACCAAAGAGTATTTAACAGTGTTCCAATGACAATCAACAATACACTTCTTGGCAAAGTTTCAATTATTAACCTAAATTTTGTTGTATAATTAAAAAAAACAAATAGAAGAGTATATGCAAATGAAGTAAAAAAAAACGAAGACAGGCGATTGCTTCGTTTATCTAGAAACAAGATGGCTGCCTAGTACGGTGAGTGGAAAAAAAGTCACATGAAAAAAAACACCGAAAAAAGTCAGATTTTGCTAGGAAAAAAAAAGGCGGACGGAAGGACGGACGGACGGACGGACGGACGGACGGACGGACGGACGGACGGATGGACGGATGGACGGATGGATGGATGGATGGATGGAAGGATATAATATATATTTACCAATAATATAGGTGGACCCGAAATATTTTTTGCGTATTGGGGGGGGTTCTATTTCCGCCACTGCTTCTATTTTAATATATTACGTCACGCTACGCCTCGCCATGCTACGCTACGCCACTCCACGATATTTGATTTCATTTCCAGGTTGACTTTAAAAATCTGTATCTACGCAGAACCATTGCAGTTGGTGATTGGGTGCGATTTGAAATGACACCGAAAAGTGGGATTGATCCTATGTAAGTATTTTTCATTGTTATTTTCGTTTGTTCAATTCATTATGAAATTTTCTATATGGTAGATGGATCGGATGCATGAAAGCTGCAAGGTGCTGACGGTTTTCGTTTAATAAATATCTCAGTTTTTCCGATATCGGTTGAAAATAAAATTAAAATGTATCGTTCCTTTGGAGAGTACAGGATGTTTAGCCAATGTGATCAGTTTACTAAGGGATGGCGTGGTCAAATGGTAGAGCATACGACTTCTAACCTGACATTCACGAGTTTACATTCCGTTTCGTGTTAGTAGAACGTCCCTGAGGCCACTCAGCTCTGATGAGAACCTGACTCGCGCTAGGAAAAGTAAAGACAAAGTGCTGACAAAACTGTACTACTCTATTTCACATGTCACCTGTCGGGTTGGACAGGGTACATTACTAACTTTAGTATCAAACTACTATTGCGCATTCTGCAAGGTTTTGTAGACGACGGTGTGTTTACAATCAAAGAGTCGATTCCTGAGAAACAACGCTTACAATCAGACTCAAGTAACTTGTTAATGTTTAAGTGGTCAGTGTTTCTGTCATACATTTCTCTCAGAAAGGCACTTAAAGCTTTCGGGGTGGGGGTAAAAAATGTGAACACATTTCATAGAGGCGGACACTGGTTAGAAAATAAATGTCTTTATAAATAAATTCTCTGCTCCGTCTGAATGAGAATAAAAGTTTGTCATGGGGGCACACACTTCTCACTAAAAGATGCCCTACTGTAAGTGTTAGAACTACTGTGCAGGAAAACCCGCATAATAATATGTGTGTTTTACGTCTTGTTATTCGTTTGGTAAATATAAATGAAGCGGTGATTATTCTACAGCCACTAACTCATGAAGAACAATAATTTTTAAATAGAAAAACACTACTCGAAATGTATTATGAAATATAAGTAATGGAATAAACTACTTCTTTCTTTTTTTTTCTAATAGCAAGATTTTTGGGAGGTGAGGTAAAACACATTCAAATAGCCGAATAGAGTGACCACTAGCATTTATTTAATAATAAGATGCCCATTCTTTTTCTTTTTAAAAATCCACTGAGGTTGCAATTACACTAATTAAAAATGTTTAATACGTAGAAAATACCTCCTTTGATAATAATCGTATATAGCGGAGAAAAATAACATTATTTTCAATAGTCGAATATTGCACAAAGTACACACATTAAAGTAGTATCATCAAAAATTGGGACATAAAACGTTTTCAAGCCGTCCAAGAGATTGAATTTGAGAATTATTACGTAGAGATAGACGGACAGGATTGTAAAACTAATTTCTTCCAATTATAATAAAATCTGAAAAAAATTGTTAAAATCTAGATTTTATTTTTCGTATGATCACAAATTTTTATTTCATTTTTCGAAAACAAAACTTTCACTTTTAACGAGAACTTAATGTTGAAAAAATTTCAGGTTCTTCGAAATATGTAACCTAACAGGTAATGAATATAAGTGTTTTGCTTCAATTTGGGGACCAAGACAAAAAAACTTTACGTTTTACTGTAGTTACTGTGATGAAATTCCGCTTGATATGTTCCATGGAGATCAAGAAATGTTTATCATTGAAATAGAATTTTTATCTGATGGAGTAATAAAGGTCAGTAATTTTAGAGATCTTACAGATTGTCGTTTATGCTACAGTCTTTCTTTAGTTTTTAGGCATTCACGAGGAAAAATAAAAGGAGATCTATCATATAAAGGATATAACTTACGAGCCAACCCGCTATTTAGTGGCTGGTGAAGACTTCCTGAATAAAATAATTGTCCAAATGAGGTGGGTGGGTACACACTGTTGCTCATTCCTGAAGAGCCAGGGAGGGGCGGGAGGAGGATTAGAGAGTTGTCGTGTATGTAGTGTCCCGCATGGTCGGGCGAATAGAGAGTTATAGAATATTCAATGTTTGGCAATCGAAAAACATACTTTTCATGTGAAGATATATGACTTATTTTAGTTGATCGAATTTTAATTCATTCTTTACTAACATTTCAGATTTATAATGATAAAAGGTACCTTAAAACGGTCACGTTGGAATTGAAACACGAAATAGGACTAGCCAATATAATAAACCTCGATTCTCATAACCGTATGGAGTGCTTTCGTATTCCATAACAATGCATGGATGCATGGATGCATGAATGCATGAATGCATGAATGCATGAATGCCTGAATGCATCCATCCATCCATCCATCCATCCATCCATCCATCCATCCATCCATCCATCCATCCATCCATCCATCCATCCATCCATCCATCCATCCATCCATCCATCCATCCATCCATCCATCCATCCATCCATCCATCCATCCATCCATCCATCCATCCATCCATCCATCCATCCATCCATCCATCCATCCATCCATCCATCCATCCATCCATCCATCCATCCATCCATCCATCCATCCATCCATCCATCCATCCATCCATCCATCCATCCATCCATCCATCCATCCATCCATCCATCCATCCATCCATCCATCCATCCATCCATCCATCCATCCATCCATCCATCCATCCATCCATCCATCCATCCATCCATCCATCCATCCATCCATCCATCCATCCATCCATCCATCCATCCATCCATCCATCCATCCATCCATCCATCCATCCATCCATCCATCCATCCATCCATCCATCCATCCATCCATCCATCCATCCATCCATCCATCCATCCATCCATCCATCCATCCATCCATCCATCCATCCATCCATCCATCCATCCATCCATCCATCCATCCATCCATCCATCCATCCATCCATCCATCCATCCATCCATCCATTCATCCATTCATCCATTCATCCATCCATCCATCCATCTACACAACACTAATGACTTAATCCTTTGTAGGCAGTGTTTTTCCAGACTTTTTTCTGCGGGGATGCACTTGAAATTTTCGGGGGGTGGGGGGGGGGGGGGGTCGGACAACACTTTTCGGGGCGGACGGGGGGCGGACACTGTCAAAAGTATATATTTTCGATATAACTTCCATTTCGTTCAGGGGGGGGGGGGTCGCACGCCCTTAAAAAAATATAAATAAAATGAAAGTTTGAAAATGATACACAATAAGTAATTGGAAGCCTTTTATTTGGAGACGGACGTTTTCCCGAAAGAAGCCCGAATGCCGTAAGCCCGAATGATTTCGTGCATTTATCGCATTCGTGCAAGTGTCCTTTCGGGCTAGTGTCTTGGACAAATTCCTGAAAGACACTTTCGTTTTGACCAGTAACTTCTCAAAGAAGTATAACAAAATTATAATATATAGTCTAAGCACTATAATTCACGTGTAACAGGTACCAATGTCTAGTAAAGCCAATGTTCAGCTGCTTTTTTTTGTTGGGGGGAGGGGGGCCGGGGGAAGGGGAAAATGTCCGTTTGGGTGGTATTTGACAAGGGGTGGGACATTTCTGCCCTAGTTTTATCTTTTAGCTCTTTGAGTTAGAGACAGAGGCGTCGCGAGGGGAGGGGGGGGGGGCTGACTGCTCCGCGTGACACCGTTTAGGGGTGACACCATGGCAAAAAAAATGCAAAATATATAGAAGAAAAATGCTTTTTCCAGTTCAATTAATAATAACTAATAGTGAATCCACTTGTATTGATATTGACTATAGCTAACCATCTTTACTATTAACTGTGCACACTTTAAAGCTATCATCCTTCGGGGAAGGGGGGGGGGGGGTGACACCAACAAAAGAATCTAGAGAGGAATAAAGACTTGTTGAATATTTTGACTAACAGGTATAACAGTCAACTACAGTAGAGCGGGTGACACCGAAATCTAATGACTTACGATAAAAACGATGTTTTTTCCACAAGAATTTACGCCATTAGGAAAAATGGGAAATGGATTTCACCATTTGCAACTATATGTATAGGCCTATGTAGACCTTTATATATATATATATATATATATATATATATATATATATATATATATATATATATATATATATATATATATATATATATATATATATTTAACAGGTATTTTCGGGGAGGGGGGGGGGGGGTAACTCGCGGCAACGCCGCTAGTTAGAGATGGGAAGTGATCTTATGGTTTTACTAGTAAGAGCATATTTTTATATTTCTCTTTTAGAAATTTTGTTTCTTCGATATTTATTTCTGTGCTTTTTCTAGGGTTCGAATTATTGATTTTGATTAAGCATATTTTCTAATGTTTCAACGTTTTTTGTTGTTTTTTCAACTTAGTGTTTCCTAAATTTATTTAAAGGGTATGATTTTTTTTCCTCTCATTTCGTGATTCTTAATCAATATTCAGTATTTTATCTGTTTATTAAAATTGTAATATTCTTTTGACTGCAATATTTTATTGCCATCTTTAGGGGTTTATTTGATATAGCTGGTGCAGGTTGTTTTTTTTAGGATGCAGTTGTTTGTCCGTCATGAAGATTTCGTTAAATATACAAATTTTTGTAAATATTCTTTTGTTTGGATTATGGATTTTCATTTAAAAAATATGATTTGGAAAATATTGAATTAGTGTTTTTAATTTGTTCTGTATTTGTCATACTTCGAGATCCTCAATAGAAGAAAATTCCAATCAAACTGAGATTAAGGTTTAGATTTATAAATTACTAAATTATAAATAACTTGAGGTATCAATCTCAAATTTTAGGACACAACTTTCTTTTATATTGCATAATAAAGGATTTTTAGTTCTCATAATTTATACTTATCAATTGTGATCATAACCTTATACACAAACACACATAGTAGGTACAGACACAGAAAGATGAAGAAGCGAATACAGCTAGAGCTAGAGATACAGGTAAAGGTACACGTTCACATACGCATGCACATAAACTTGCATATGCGCATGCACTTAAGAATGCACATATGAATACCCACACCTATGCACATACGCTTACGAATATACATAGCCTATGCACTCATACACACATAAATATACACACACAAATGTGGCTTGCTATCTGGGAAAATGAAAAATGGTTTTACTGGAAAGGATTTTCCTCCTTATTTAATAACAATTGCTTTGTTTAAAAAAATGTATGTAGTTTAGATCAGCTGAACCTAACACAATTCCTTCCTTTATTAATGATGAACCTTTAATTTTCCTGAATTATTATTGGAAGAGGTTTTTTCGGGGTCTTAATCGGATTATTATTTGAAATAAAATACATCTAAGTCCTCCTCTGCTAATCTCACTGTGCGTTGATCTTTGTTAGTGTTCAGGTATTCTTCTTGTGAGTAAATCACTTCTTTCTTTCTTTTTTTATTTATTTTCCAAGACACCAAAAACACTGTGAAGCTAACATACATACACAGAGACAGACAAAAAGAAGCAAAGCCTCTGCCTGGGAACAAAAGCATCAACGTGTTTACCCCAGGTGGAGCTTTTGTCACTAGCAACTGTGATGCCATCAGAATGATTCCGATAGTTTTATTCTGCCCACCACAAGCATCTCTTCAAGAAAACCTGGGAAGATGAACAAATCCCAGGGAGTGGAAGAAGGGACTACTCATAAATCTTCCAAAGAAAAGCGATCTTAGTGCATGCTCTAACTATAGAGGGATAACTCTTTTGTCCATCCCAGGCAAAGTCTTCAACAGAATATTATTATACAGAATGAAGGAAGTGATAGACCCCCCCCCCCCCCCAGCTTCGAGATCAACAGGTGGGCTTTAGGAAGGAAAGGTCATGCGTAGACCAAATTGCTACCCTGCGCATCAACATTGAACAGACCCAAGAGTGGAACTCATCTATCTATATTAATTTCATAGATTATGAGAAGGCCTTTGATAGCCTGGATAGACAGTCAATGTGGAAATTGTTGAGACACTATGGAGTGCCAGAGAAAATAGTCAACATTATGTCTTCAAATGTAGGTCTTAAATGTAGAGTAGTGCTTGGCCAACAGACTTCGGAGAACTTCCCAGTACGGACTGAGTAAGGCAGAGTTGTCTACTTTCACAATTCCTGTTCCTGCTGGCCATAGAATGGATTATGAACATATCAACAGAGAAAAGCAAAACTGTATACAGTGGACGCCGAGAAGCCGGCTGGATGACCTGAAACTTTGCTGACGACCTGGCCCTTCTTTCTAACACACAACAGCAAATTCAAGATCAAACCAACAGTGTTACTGTATATGCCTGGGCCTGAACATCCACAGAGGGAAAAGTAAAGTTCTCAAAATAAATGCCTCATGCAGAACCCCTATAACATTGGCAGAAGACGTCTTAGAAGTAGTGGATAGATTCACTTACATTGGAAGTATTGTTGATGAGCATGGTGGGAACAGAAGCAGACACAATTCCTGTTCCTGCTGGCCATAGAATGGATTATGAACATATCAACAGAGAAAAGCAAAACTGTATACAGTGGACGCCGAGAAGCCGGCTGGATGACCTGAAACTTTGCTGACGACCTGGCCCTTCTTTCTAACACACAACAGCAAATTCAAGATCAAACCAACAGTGTTACTGTATATGCCTGGGCCTGAACATCCACAGAGGGAAAAGTAAAGTTCTCAAAATAAATGCCTCATGCAGAACCCCTATAACATTGGCAGAAGACGTCTTAGAAGTAGTGGATAGATTCACTTACATTGGAAGTATTGTTGATGAGCATGGTGGGAACAGAAGCAGACATAAAAATGAGGACAGGGAAGGCTTTCAACCAACAAAAAAATGTTTGGGGTTCTGGAAATTAATTTAACCCTTGGAATAAAAATTCAGATCTTCAACACAATAGTAAAAAAAGGTTTCACTCTATGGAACTGAGTGATGGAGAATAACTGCTATAAATAAGAAGAAAATACAATCATTTATAAACTCATGCCTCAACATGGTCCTGCAAATTCGCTGGCCTAAAACCATCAGAAACAAATCATCTGCCAGCTGAAGAAGAGATCCTCCAGAGATAATGGAAATGGATTGGCGACACACTCAGGAAGCCTGTATCCAGCATAACAAGACAGGCCCTCATCTGAAATCCACAGGTCAGGAGAAGGAGAGGCAGACCAAGAAAGATATGGAGACGTGACCTGGAGGAAGACACTAAGAAGATTTGATACACCTTGGGACAGTTGGATAGATTAGCACAGGACAGAGACGCCTATAAAGCTC